ATTGTGGATTCGTTACCGAAAACGGCGAGTGGAAAAATATCTCGGAAAGATTTACTTTCGCTTTAGTAATTCCTAAGAACGTCTGTAACAAAAAAATTCTATTGCTGCAATGGAAAATGCCGAAGGCAAACTTATTGACCAGTACTTTCTCTCAAATATGTGCTTTTCTGGAATGTTGTCATTTTTACAACTGATGCAGTCTGTAAAACAGCGTAATGTTTATACAAATTACGGTTATAATTGCTTATTTAATAATTAGAACAAAAAAACAAATATCGGTGCGCACCAAGGTAACTAGTGCGATCATGCGTTTTTTGCAACACTCTCCAGCGAACGCTTATGCAACTCTGTTCAGGAGAACCTTGCTGTTAAAAGTGTCCGCTGCATTACTGCTTAATGCGTTACACGCCGGTTTCGATGCCAAAACTTTATTGTTCGTGGTCCCTGAGTTAATAATTTTAGCACCAAAATTTTCCCTTCTTCGTACATGAGAACAAGACATGCGAAGACAGTGTAGGAGTATTGTAAAATTTCAGCTTTCCACTTTCTGTGTTTTCCTAGTTATTAAGCATCAAAACTTTCACGTGCCCATACGTGAAGTCTAGGCGCGCACAGGTGCTCAGTTTGAGTTTGCGAGGACACACACGGGTAAGAGGGCCCTCGCTTAAAATTTCAGCTTCCTAGCTTCTCTGGTTTTCAAGTTGAGATCTGCGGATAAAATGTACTCGGAACACACACACACACAGGCAGGGTCTCGACAATATGCGTTTCCTGCAAATATTGCAGCAAACAATGCGTAATAAGCTGTCAGGATAATATTCCTCAATGTGCAAAAACTTACTAATGCACCACCGGTTTCCGCAAAGTAAACAACATGCTGTGCGCGTCGGATTCTTTATACGTGGCTTTAATAACATTTTGCACACTACTTATCTGATGGAGCGGCCAGTTGTCTGAACGGCCACGAAGAGATGCTTTAAACATCACTGGCTTCATTACTCTGCTCGTCACAACCAGCATTTGCTCATCAGTAGTTCAATATTGAATAACTCGAAGTTTCTTCAGTTTTTCCAACTCTTCATTCTCGATTGCCAATTCTGACTGCAATACCTCCCTGGTATGTTCGCCGAGGACCGGTGGCGGGCTACGAATACGATTTACTGCCTCGCTATACTGAACCACCGGACCTGAAAATACGCACAAAATTTTTCCAAAAAAATTTCCTGCTTTTTGTTCAGTGTAAGATTAATTATTCAAAAAATAGTCTTCGATGAGAAAAAAAGAGCGACGCCTAGGAGAATCAAAAAATTACCAATTACTCGCATTGGTCCCATTTCTCGATGGTACATCTCTTGCACGAGATTCAAATGCTTTACCTACAATTTCATAAAATACGAATAATCATACAAAAAAAGCTGGAATTATCAGTATGAAGATTGAATTTTTTTGAAAAAAAAAAACATCCTTCTTAGCGTATTTTAAGAGAGCCAGAGACAGATACGTTGGCAAATAATATTGCATTTTTAATTGATGTTTTGATGCTCCGTGAGTGTTTTCGTCTCCTATAGAGGGCGGATCGAAAAAAAGAGAGGTGGAGGATTTCGAGTTTTGAATCGAAATTCTTATAATGAGAATTATAACAAAAATGTCAGGGATAAAGATGTTTGGACCGGTACAGAAAAATAAAAGTAAAACGGGTTGTAGGCTAATAAGTACTGTTCTAAAGATTACTTTTGGCTGGATTCAATATTTTTTCTTCTGATTACAAAGCTAAAAGCCCTACTGAAATGTAAAAGCATTCAGCAGTACCTGCGGATGTTCGAAAGCTTCTTGCAGATTGTTTACTGGTGCACTCGTTAACGAATCGTCGGTGACTGTTCTCTCCCAATACTTCAGATCCTCTTCCAAAAACCTGGAAGAAAAAAATAAGCTTAGATATATGGAATGTCTGCTGAATTTCAGCAAAGGCTCTGCATTTGCAACAGAGTATTTTTTGAAACTCATAAATACCTTTTAGAAAGTAATTCAGTAAGATCATTTTTGTTCTTGATTCTGTCTTTGTTGCTTCTGAATCGCTGGTCCTCTGCAATACTTGGCATTCCAATCAATCTACACAACTAAAACAAATAGCTTTTTTTTGAAATTTTGAAATCATTTGCAAAATAACCCAGACTGGAACGCACCAGGCGAGCCGGTGCGATCATTCGTTTTTGCACAGTTTCTTGCGGATTTTTAGTGCTACGGTGTTATCTGGCCGCCGTGCTCTACATATTGTAATATACAATCTAGACAGCGGAGCGTTCTGTTCGAAGAAATTTGAAGTGGAGCTGAAGTAAGCAGTGCTCCTGTCGCCTCAGTTCAACTCGCATTCGAATGCGACTCGCGAGGCGTGGTGAATGTGCCAATTAAGTACAGCCTGGAAAGTGACGAAACTCTGGACAGCGCAACGTACAGTAAAGCCCGAGTTCTTAGTTTAGATTACTTTAAAGAAAAAAAAACATCAGCTGCGCGTAAGTGGTTTATAAGCTTAATGCATACACGCAGTTGTGCATGCGATAAATTCTCGGCATTCAAAATGCCGGGAATGCCGGCATGGCAGTATATTGTAGAGCAATGCTCGGTCGATCACTGCGTTTCCCTCACGCAACATTTAAGTTTGCCTAGCACGGTCGTGCTCGTTTATTTTGTTTGAATGGTGGAATCCGTTC